TACTTTCAAAAGACAATAAAATTACAATAATAATAGGCGACCTGGTGAAGGTTCATAGATACAAAGGAGAATTATCCCCAATGCCAAGCCACTTCAATTATCTTGATTTATTTATTAGTAAAAAGCTGGCGAATCATGTAGTAGGCCAATTAGAATTTGGCTGATTTAGTATAGTTACACCATGATATAGATTATCAAGGAAAACATATTTTAAAATAACAATGATTTTTGGAATTGTGTTCATACAGTGTGTGGTTTTTAAAGTAATGTCGGTTTGGAATGCACAATAAGATTTTAAAGTATACTGTGGTGCCTCGACTTACAAGCTTAATCTGTTTAGAAGATGGTTGTAACTCGAAATGGTCGTAAGTTGAAGCACCATTTCCCATTGAAATGTGATCAATCCCTTCCAGCTGTTTTTGGTTGTACCTCGAGGCGCCGGTTGCAAGTTGAACCATTTATTCCTGTAGGAACGAATGCAAAAGCAGTTAATCCATCCACTACCACTAGAGGGAGAATTTTTCTTCTTTTAACCTAAGATTAGGTTTAAAAAAGGGCAGGAAAGGAGGGAGGGAGGGAACAATGGGGAAAAGAGGAAAGAAAGAAGGTCATCACTGGGGTACACAGACCCACAGAATGCAAAAATAAATAAATAAATCCAGCAACCATTATTCCAGCAAACAGACCTCTCAGTCTAATTTTACATTTTAAAATTACAGTCTAATTTTCACATTTAATTTTAATTTAATATTACAATCTAATGTTCACATTTTAAACCCACACTGCAAGACCCATCAAAACACAGAAACATAACCCACCCAGCCCAAACCCACCCAGCAAAACCCATCCAGAGCAGGCAGTTTTTAAAAAGCAGAAAGCAGCACCTTACCTTACCAGGCAGTCCCAAGCCTCCCTGCAGACAAACACACTCTCACTCAGAAGCAGAGGCCAGGCAGTCCCAAGCCTCCTCTGATTGCACACACTCTAACCATTGGGACTAAAGAGCTACAAAGAAGCTCTTCACCGACCAACAGTTAGCTCTCTAATTTATTTATTTATTTATTTGATTTGATTTGTATCCCGCCCATCTGGTCTGGTCAATTCCCCACCTTTTCTCCCTGCCTCTTTTGATCGCAACTCGAAGCTCCAGCTGGATGTCGAAGCAAAATTTTGCAGCCGGAGCTGGTCGTAATTTGAAATGGCCGTATGTCGGGAAGTTCGTAAGTCAAGGCACCATTGTATAAGCATAAAGGGTCTCCCTCCTGTTACCTACAGTTTTGGAATGGAGGAGTTCTTCATTGTTTATCTACACACCTTTGGCTGATAAAGATGTTTCAGGGAGAAAGTGGGTTGTTTGGGAGCACGTCAATGTCATTTTTATACATCTTAGCCTTTCCATTTAGCCTTTCTATTTAGCCTTTCTATTGTGTCTGTTTTCAGGCACAATTCAAAGTGCTGATTCCAGCTTATAAAGCCCTAAATGGCTTGGGTCCAAGCAATTTCAAGGACCCAGTCTCCCTTTATGAGCCTGCTCAGCTGTTAAGATCATCAGGAGAGACCTCTATCTGGAACTCCCTCCCATTGGTAGCCAAGTTGGCCTCATCTTTGCTGTATTCCACAAACAAGCAAAGATATTTCTCTTCAATGCATGAGTGGAGTTTTTTAGTGGACTGATGTGCCTTATTCCTTTAAATGTGCCTTTGGTGTTTTTGTTTGATCCTTTTAAGTATTTGTACACTTACTAATGTTAGCTTTAAATATTGTCTGATGTAAGCCACCTTGGGTCCTTATCAAGGAGAGAGGTGGGATAAAAATATCATTCATTCATTCATTCATTAGATCCACAACGTTAGTGCGTACCTCGAAAAAGAGTAAATGATAACATGTAAAGTGATGCTTAGATATTTGGGGGGGGGGGAGCAAAATCTCTATCGTCATACTTTGCTGCATCTTCTGACCATTAGGATCCTCCAGTACAACATTGCAGGCTGATTATGGGAAAATGTGTGCTCAAAATTATTTTGTTGCATGGAGGAAAAGGCTTCTATTTGAAAGATATGGCCCAAAGTCCTATCAGTGTATGGAACTGGTTTTTACTGGTTCTTTTGGATCCCAGTTTCTGTACCACCAAAAAAATTAGAATGGATATTTTTCAGTTCTTTGTGACAAAGCCAGTAATTTTAGTTTTATAGGTGAAGTGAGGCCTTTTCCCTAACTCTCTGTACAATGACTGTGTCCCCAGACTCCTTCAGCGTCTCCTAATACGAGCTTCACATCTGATGGTACGCCATCTCCAGCAGGAGGAATTAAGCGTAAAGCAGAGGACAGTGACAGTGAACCTGAGCCTGAAGATAATATCAGGTGACGCATTTGGTACTTTGTTAGCACATTGTCAAAGGGGATGTCGCCTCATTAATGCTATTTACCCTATATCTGCAGTGCCTTGTAATGCTTTTCCATGATCTTTTTATCCACCAATAATTAATGTGGAGAGTTGGGATACTCAGTAAATTCCAGTGAGATGTGTAGGCTGTAGCTGTTAAATTTAAGTGTTTCCATTAGTATGCATGCAGGTTTTCGTCCTAAAAGCTGCTACTCCCTTTGAGACTCAGTACCAGCTTGCTGACAGGTTCAGTATTCAGCTCAGACTCTATGAACAGAATGTTATTTTACAGCATAAATGAAACAGGTTAACTCTTTAAGCTCTGCAAAAAATAATAATTCCCCTTTGCTTTGTCAACTTTAGTGAGGGCCCATTGATGGTAGTGGCAAATTTGCTTTGCACAAGGTCCTATCTTGGCACCTTCAGATAAAATAATCTGCAGAATTAGGAAAGAGCTGCTACTGGTCAATGTAGGTAATACTGATAAATCTGACCAAAAGTTTGTCTCTGCCTAAAAGAGCATCATAGGTTTGTCTCGCTCTCTCCCTCTCTTTCTTTTTTTTACTACATGCTGGTGCTCAGCAAAAAACTGCTCCTGCCCTCTTAAAATTCCATCTCATATATTGGGGTTTGCAGTAAAATAGAAATTCATGAGTATATAGTCTGTACAGTAGTTTGGAGAAGACTTTGTTGGACTCTTCTGTGCATACATACAGGGGAAGGAGCTTGGATCCAAGCCATGGTGTATTTTATTTTACATGCTTAATTTTTAGGTTCAGTGCTGATTATGTAAGAGAAAATGCCTATCAGTGTCACACCATTCCTAAGATGAGCTTTATTGATAAGTAGGATCCAAAAATGGTGTATGTGTGAATGGATTTTCCTTGCATTTGAAATGCTTGTCTTTCTCTCGAATGCTGTCCCAGAAAAGTTCTGCTGAACCTCTAGAAGAGATTAGTTAAACAGGATGCATGAGACTGCAGTGTGAAGGAAGATTCTGAAAGCCTTCCATATATTCATAGAACATTATTTGAAGTTCATTGGATCTTTGGCAGTACTTTTATTGTATTTTTATTGACTACTTTCCTTTGAGAATTAGAGGGGAAGGGTGGGGAAAGGTTTTATGCCATTCTCGTGATAAATGTGATTTAAGCTGCAGGTACTTTAGTGTTAAAATTACTTTAAAATTTATAATGCACAATGTGTAAATATATATGATACAAATATTAACAAAAAGGGAATTGTTGTATAGGCTGTGGGAAGCTGGCTGGAAACAGCGCTACTACAAGAACAAATTTGATGTTGATATCTCCGACAAAAAATTCCGACGTAAAGTTGTGCAGTCATATGTGGAAGGGCTTTGCTGGGTTCTCCGCTACTATTATCAGGTACTTTTCTGTTCAGCTGTTTGGAGTTTTTGTTTCTTCAGAATTCATCTCTGTTTTATCTGTAGTAATAATTCCAGTAATCATTATTTGCTTGCCTGCTATAGATATTTAATAAGGATCAAGAGTGGCATAATCAGGAGTGCAACAATTCAAGTGACCTGTAGTGAGTGGTGCTTAAAAATTTGGGCTCAGCAGTTCGTATCCGAATTATTCTGAGAAGCACAGTAGAAAGTAATTTTTGAACTGACAATGAGTTTCAATCAAAACACATGCCAGAATAGATTTAGAGAGTTGTCAAACAAAGGACTTAAACACTGAAGTAGTTATAGAAAGAGAGAACATGAACACTGTGTATGTATGGAACATAAGCTTTAACAAAACAAAATGTATGAATATGATGTTTTTAGTCTTATATGAATACATGTAAAAATTAGAAAATAAAATTTATAGTGGCACTCTTACTCTCTGATGGTTTGAACACTGTACTTTCTTTGTGGAAGACTAGATTGTATCATTTGTTAGAACAGAATTAACAGAGAAACATGAGAGGCTGAAATAAGGTTTTCAGTCTAAGTGGTATAGTGTTCATGGTATATTTTTATTACTTCTTGGATGCTGCCTTAGTTGCATTGATATTTGGAGCTGGTTTTATTTTTATTTTGTTGTTTTCAGTGTATTTCATTTTATATTATGATTACTGTTTTTAATTCTGCTAGGCCCCTTGAGCCCTCTAAAAGAAAAGTGGAATGCTTAAAATGCTTTAAATAAAATTATTCAGTCCTCATAATGATGGGTCAGTCCTCATGTGCAGATTTTATCTGATATCGGCCAAAATTTTATTAGTGTTTGCTTAAGGTTTGGGTAACTTGACATAACAAATTGTTATGCTAATTGATTATGTGTTGGGGCGTGACTGAGCCATGGGCTGTGTCACATGGCCAACTGTACAACCAAGATACCCCCTGGCATTTTCTTTCTTAGTAGCAATTAGCTGCAGCAAGCTGTGCAAACCCGTATGCAAATACCAGTGGAATTCCTGCCATTTCTATAGAAACTCTTTGAAAGATGCTAGCAATTGATATTTTGGACAAGATCGTTATTTTCAAAAAATATATTTTATTGTATTTTTTCTACTTTTCGATCCGTTGCAACCAGAGTGATTTATTGCAATATATTCCATTCATTTAATCTTATCATATTCTCTAACGTAGTATTGATCTAATCTATTCTACTTAAGTTGATATAGATTTCATCCAGGTATAAAGAGGTTCCCATTTATTATTATCCACTCTGTCATTTAATGTATCTGTCATCCAGTCTGTCATTTAATGTATCTGTCAAAATATCCATTTCTGCTAGTTCCAAAATCTTCACAATAAATTCCTTCTTTGTCACGATCTCTTTCATCTTCCACTTACTGGCATATACAATTCTAGTTATCAGGTGTAAGGTCAAGTAGGTCTCTTTTTTTTGGAGTACCAGTGGTGCCTTGCTTAACGAGCGCCCTGTTAAATGACGAAACCGCTTAGCGACAAAGAAATTGCGATCGAAAAAGCAATCGCATTGCGATGTTTTAAATAGGAAAAATCGCTTTGCGATGATCGGTAAGCTGTTTCGCTTACCAATTATCGCATAGCGATCTTTTTCCTGCAGCTGATCGGTGGCTCCAAAATGGCCACCGGGAAAAAAACATGGCCGCCCGCTGTGTTTTGGGATGGATTCCTCGCATACCGGGCAGCAAAAATGGC